TAGGGAAATTAATTGTACATTTTAAGCAGCTTTTGTAAGACTGAAAGCTTAGTGGTTGTCATTCACCTTCATATAAAACAAAGATACAAGTTACTAAACAATTTTGAAGTGCTGTCTATATCTATGGACTCTGATGTGTATGGCGGCCTTAGGATGTTTTTTTATGTTCTTACTGGTTTAACTGCAAGAAATTCTAACAAAGTTTACATAAAATATGGAATTAACAGACAAAAAAGACTCACAATTGGAAAGTTTCATTGTATTTTGGTGACCAGGTGTTGCTCTTTGTCTTGGTTCCATGTTTTCTTTTCTTGTCACTTAGGTTAGGACCTAATAGGCAAACTTCCACAAATGGCCGGAACATAGCTGTTGTTTGCCAGTTTAGATTATTAACCGCTACAACTATAAAGAAATAAAAGAAATGAAGTTAAATACAATTCCACTGGAAGACCTTCACCTCATTATCCAGTATGACTTTGTGTAGCCAATGAAAGGTGACCCGAGAGCTTTCCTACAGATACCAATACCTGGCAAGCCCAGGAAGAGCTTTGCCTGTTCTCTGCCATGTAAGATGTCTGACTGCTTTCAGTTACAATGGTAGCAAATATAAACATATATTTTACACGTGCTTTATGTTAACAGCTCTCGTCTGCTGCCTTCACTGTAATTAAAAAATCAGCTTATACTAATCTAAATGATACTGGCTTTCCTCTGGAATTCAGGTTCTGTGCAGAACAAAGGCGTTTTGTTAAAAATGGAACTTTTCAAGTCTTGGTGCAGTCATTCACCACCCAGCTTTGCTACAGCTTTTGGAAAATTAAATTATATGCAAGCAATTCAAAAGTCTAATTTGGCATATTTGAATTTATAACTTCATAACTTCATATAATAAATTTTAACTGTCTACAGAGAAGCATATAGACAGTACTTACCTGCATAATCTTAGCTTCTGCTGATGTTGAGCAAGGAAAAAGTATGATCCTAATCACCTGAAGCATACTTATAGCCTTACAAGTATTGTAATACTTTACTTAACATTTGTTATTTCATTATTGGCACGTTTTACTTAGGATGTAGTGCTTGACGGGGGGGTTGGACTTTGCTGTTGCTTCCTTTTTAAAGTAAGTAAGTTAGCTATTTGAAACTTACCTTTTACAGTGACTTTATGCTCCCCAGTTCCAGGATGTGTGGAGACATCCACCTGTATAGATATCTCACCCACCGAATTATTAGTGGTTTGACCTGAAGTAGTAATTGGTAGGTTAGCACACTTGGCTTCTCAGTACATCAAGAGAAACAGACAGTGAAAGAAGGTGAGCGATATTTTCTGTCAGAAACACTTAGAAATTTCTGACATATATTTCACATTTAAGTGGGAATCAGTTACAGATTCTTAAGAGATTTTACCACAAAAGTACCTAGCAATTGCAAATATCTACGTAAAGTGCCTCAGTAAGATAAAAAAAAACCCTTTCATCTGGAACCTTCTATTCTGGTTGTCATTAGGTGTGTTTGCATCTCGAAATGCAAAAGTTGGTGGTTTTGTCAAATTTTGTTTGCATGTGCACCCCAAAAAAATCTTATTGCAAGGATGCATTTGGAAAGTTATTTCTGTATTGTTATTGATGAATCCTTTGCTGGGGGTTATGTCTAAGCAAACTACTAAAGTTCTGCATTAGCACAGACACAGGGGCTTAAAAAACAAAGGGAACGTTGTAGGGATGGCAGAGGAGCCAGGAACTTAATTTTGAAAGTTTTTACTTCTGAGCACCAGTGCAGGTTCTAAGTCAATTTGCACATAATGATTCCTTAAAAGGACTCTCAGTATGCATTGAAAGGTCCTTTAACATACCAGATTACAACAGTACAATATAAACAAAATTGGATATGTTTATTTGTTCTTTAATTGGATGACTGTGAATGTTGAACTCTGTGAACTGTGCACTTGCTCCCCAGTCTAAACTCTGTGAACTATATACTAAAGCAAATTACTACGCTTTTATAACTGGCTACTATTTCTGTGGGCTAGCAGAGGAAAGATTCTCTCGTATTTCTATTTATACAGAAATTCCTTACCCACTGGTTCCTCATCTATCTGTATGTGAGGAAAAGCAAACATTCCTTTAGAAGTTTTCCAGCAGCTCATGCAGGAATTAAGGAAGGGGTACAGAGGAGTGTCTTGTCTAATCATACTGGGGAAAATGATTTTTTTTGTTGTTGTTTTTTTTCCCCCTGAATTAGTGTATACAAAGAATATATTTTTTTTTTCTTTATCATGCATAGTTTTTTCTGGATTTCGCCATCAGTGGTTTCCTAGAAATGTGTTCTACAGTGATGTTTATTCGTTGTGTTGGAATAATCTGTAATTATGTTCTCTACACTGGTTGAACATTGCAAGGTCAATTAAATACTCTTACCCCAAGCATTACTGCTTCAGAGAACAAGTGTTTTGCCTGATACATCAAAATGTGGAAATTCAGTGCTCAATTAACTTGCTCAGAGGCCTTGAACACTGTTCTGCATTTTCCAACTTTCAGGCGAGTTTGGCTTTGAATTGTCATGAATCTACTTCTGAACAGTAGTCAACAGTGTTTTAGCAAAAATACACAGTCTCAATTTCTTAATCTGGTTATAGCTGCTACATCTGAATTGCAGGGTACCTGTACAAATTTTGCTGCTAGAGGTATTTCAGTATCAGATGGTTTGGACCGCTACTGACATGTAAATAGGCAATTTATTAGACAGCCGACTTTTAATTGCAAGAAGTTTAGTTTCACTGGCAGCCATTAAACTTCTTGTTATATTTGGATAATTACTTAAAGCTGCACTATATGGGATCTCTAATTAAGTTGCTGAATCATTTTACATCTAGTTCACAATAAATAATACTTTTTTTTTTTTTAAGAACGTATAAAAAGATAGGAATGAAATGGACTAGTAAAGTTAAATAAAATCAGTATAACAGCTTTATTTAGAAGAATAACACAATGTATTATCTGACTGTACAGTAAAATTAGCTTTTATTTAGGAAGAGAAAGGAAATTCTCATTTGGTCAAGGTCATAAAGTTAAAGTTGATTTCCTTTTCTCTTGCAAACACAGTATCTTTAGACCATGTATCAATGAGTAGTGTAATATTGACACCGAGTTTCTGCTGCTTGAAATAAAATTTATTTATGAATTTAAAAATAATGGTTTTTTGGAGGGCAAAGTGCTATGTAAAATTATTCTGCCCAGATAAACAAGATTTTTAAGAAGACCTCATTTTCATTATACAAAATGTGGTGTTTTTAATGGAGTTACATTTAACCCAATGTGCTGATTTGTGTGAAAACACCTTCCATTATATTTATGTGGATTACTTACCTTGAATTAAATGAAGACAATATTTTTTTTTTTCCCTCACACCTAAAATTCAGAAGGCAGCTTATCTGAGCTAGTACTCCACTACTATATATATTATATATTTGTCTATAGGTTATTCTCATTGGCTTTCTAATGCTGTAAAGTAAATCAAAGAGAGTAGAGACTGGAGCTTCTAGAGCTTTAATCTGTCTTGTTCTTTCATATTGTGAAATTCCACCTTTTCAAATTGTTACATACTGCATGGAATTCAACCTTAACAGGTTCTTTTTGTGATGGTGGACCTTTTTATGCATGATGCTTTTGATTCCACATATAGCCATCTTCGGCTATGAAGTTTCAGTTGAACATACCGTAACTCTAAGTCATTAATCTTTTGTTCTAATTAAAAAGCTTTCATTGCCAAGCTGGACAGGAGAAGAGAACCAGGAATTTGCAACATCTAAATCAAAGGGACAATGAATGGATAGGATAAACTGAATGTACTGAGAGAGAGTATGAGAAGTTCTCAAACTCTTTCCCAGTCAAAATTAATAATAATTTACCACGGACTGCAGTGGAAGGTGGGTCAGGATGATCCTCAATATCACTGAAAATATCAGCCACTGTCAATTACTTGTTTTAACCTTTAGCTTAAAAAAAAAGAAAACCAAACCAAAACCCCTTTAGGAGAAATCAGGAATGTTTTAAAAGAAAACAATTAGCATTTCCATTAGATAGCTTATGCAGCAACCTGTGGGTGATGGTAACAATGGAGCGTGCTGTGTTAACCTGTAATAATGACACGTTAGATCTTACCGAGACAAAATTATGAATCTACAAGATAAGTCTTGTTCTGTTTTTCCAATTTTTTTATTAACTATGCAAAGTATATCCTTGCAAAGGTCTCCTAAGTGATCTTTTTTCTTTCATTTTCCTAGTAGTCCCTAATTCACAACAGTGCTGTAAGCAGTACCGCAAATACATAGTGGGAGTAGTCCTGTATGTATAGTACCATTTGATACAGTTATACAGAAAGAAATCTGTGCAAAACGTCACACAGTTTTATACTGAAAACAGCTGACATTATTGCTGAGGAAATTCCCTACAGCAGAACATCTTAGCCAGACAATTTCCATTTGAGTCTAGAATATAAACTTGGTTTCTTTCAGTTACCACCCCATTCATCTTGCATTTGTTTTCTCTCTCTTTCTCTCTGACCTG